ATTTTATTTAATGTATTTATAAAACTAAAATTATTTTTTTTACCCCAAACTTGCCAGTGCTTTCCTCCTACTAGTTTGCACTTACCTCTTATGTTGTGACCAGAAAATATAACAAAGTAACTAATAAAAAACACAAAATGTTGGACAGCTGATAAATGTGATGCACAATCGTAATGGCTTCCCTCTAAAAATGTTAACTAGCGCTGCCGCTAGGTATGATTCATAACAGCACAACCCAGAGTGCTTTTTTTTAACCTTTTCACTATTGGGATCTGTTTACATTATGTGACACTGAGAGTGACAGACATATTGCTTCCAAATGTCACCAGAATTGAGTCAGCCTATTTATATACATCCACAGGCCCCCAGGAAAGGCACTGGGTCACATGTATACTTGTCTTCAGTAGTTAAAGGGTTAACGAGGGAATCGTGTATACCGTATTCCCTCGATCTCCCCTAAGCATTATTTTCTTCATAACAATTTTTTCTAATTTTCATTTTATTTCAGAGCATCGTGGGCCACGATTACCTCGGGGGCTGCATGTGGCTTTGGGGTTGCCAGTTTGACACCCCTGATCTAGTGCAAGAAGAGAGCAGGGAAGGGGAGGCAGGGAGATGCCCAGCCAGCCACACCAATGGAAGCATGCTGTCCTTGAGAGCAGTTGATTTATTTGAGATTGAACCCTAGTTAGTGTCCTTGACCCTCAAGCAGGGTACTGCCCAACTTTGCGGCTGATCTCTTGTGCATGGCAAATAGAGGAAACTAGAAGAGCCCGGTGGGGACCACTCAGCCCCACCACCCCTTGGTTTAGAAAAATTCTACTGCATCAGTTCAGCCAAACCTCCTTCCTCCTTTATCCCAACCTATGCTGAGCATCAAGCAAAATACAAGAGATAGCTAAACATGGGCGTGTGCCCTCAATGAGATTGAGAAGTAGCTGGGCAGGATGAGAAACCCAAGGAACAGTGTCCACAGAACTCGGGCAGCAATGGGGTGCTGGGCTGCAGCAGGATGATATGAAAAATGTAGTCAGGAGAGCCCATCACGGTGGGGCATGAGAGGCTGTGTAAGATATGTCAGAGGGATTAAGGAAGGCAATCTAGGCAAAAGGGCTGCTATGAGCACAGGGACTGGAAAAAGGATGCATCAGATCCATAAGCAATGAGAAGTAAGGAATTAGTCTGACACAGAGGAAACGTGAAGACAATGAAGTATAGAGAAGGAATGTAACACCTGAATACCAGACAGGGAGACAAGGAGAGAATAGATCCAGGTGGGAGGGCTAGGTTCTCTCCTCTCCTCCTTTTATCATGTTACTTACTGCCACTGGTGGAGATGACGGCAGTGATGATAATCACCAGCTATAGAGCCTCTAGGGTGCTGTCCCCTGTGCACACAGCTTGCAGTGAGTCTGATAATTTAGTTGGAGGAAAGATGAGCAGTTGTACAGAAGAATACAGGTCTCACATGAACAAAGGATTAGAGCTTGGTAATTGTTACAGGTTTAGAACAGGAAGAGACTTTCAAAGGCGAGGATTTTACCTTTATTCCCTCCAGGCCTGCCCGAAAAACCAACAGGGCTACAGTTCCCCGGAGGAGTTCCTTGAGGGTCCTGCATCTGAGGTCAATGAGGGGGCAGAGAGGGAGGAAGGGAAGGAGGTATGGGTTTCCACAACTGTGTCTGTTTCCATACTTGCTATTTCATTGCACAAGAACAGCTTTGAGAACACACCTTCAGTTCCTGCAGGCATGAATACATCCACAAGAAATTAAGAATTCCATTGGGCTAATGCAAAGGTCAAGAAGTCAGAAATCCTGACTTCTGCTTCCAGTCCTGCTTTTGGTTGACTTTTAAGGCAAAGTACTAGATCTTTCTGGGCCTGCAAATCATCTACCTTCTGGAAGTGTCTAATGTTCCACAACCAGCCTCAGAGGTCTTGTGAAAATAATGGATAGGTTCAGTTCCTTCACACACTTGTATCCCTTCACAAACACCAGGAACATAAGAGAATCTCAGTCTTCCCCTCCTTGATGCTCTGGTGTGTTGGGTTTAACCACGTATATGGAGGGTAAAAGCAGGTATTCAACTATCAGAGAGGTTGGCAGTTCCAGCCCTCCTACAAGTACCATGGAAGAAAGGCCTAGGAATCTGTTTCAAAAAAATAAGCCACTGAAAACCATGTAGAAGGAAGGCCAAGCCATCCCCAAGGCCTTACAAAGAAGGCCCTAGACCTCCCTGTGACACAGCAAGGAAGTCCCTGTCTGTCCCCATGTCCCCATATCCCAGCCAGAAAGCCCCTGGTTATCCCTTCATGCAGCAAGGAATGCCCTAACCATCCCCAAACTCTGACAATGAAGCCCGGGCTATCCCCATGCCCCTGTAAGGAAGCCTCCTATCATTCCCACACCTCAGTAAAACAAAGCTAATTACTTCCACAAGCTGTCAACCCCCCAATAGCAACATCTGCACCATGATTCCATGGGCAAAGCAGTCCATCTCTTTTTAATCAAGAAAAGCAGGCCCATTGAACAACACCCAAATCTGACGGCATATTCTAAAGAAAGGTCCCTGGGACTACCAGAAATGGAAGTCAGAAGAATCGTGTGCATATGCTTTCAAAGGATGGAAGAACTGTTTGAGAGAACACTGGAAAAATAGGAAAATTAGAAACCCTACTCCAGTGGAATTCCAGAAGATAAATAATTTGATAATAGAATTCAACAACAAATTATTGAGCTTGAAGACATTTCCTTTGACTACAGCTGATGAGACAAACAGTCAACAAAAAAAAGCAAAGACATAATTATGTAGGACAGTATCATGAGGAACAACCTAAGTCTCCTTTGGTTTCTGGAGCAGGAAGAAACAAAACAATCTACAGAGAAAATAGTCAAGAAATTATGGAAGGAAACTTCCCTAACACCATAAAGAGGAGAAAGTAGCTACTCGATTACAAGGATCTACATGTGACCTCCTCCCTGGGGGATGGACAACAGAAAAGTGGATGAAACGACGGACAGGACAGGGCAGGATATGACAAAATAACAATTTATAAATTATCAGGGGTTCATGAGGGAGCAGGGAGCGGGGAGGGAGGGGGAAAAAATGAGAACCTGATACCGGGGGCTTAAGTGGAGAGCAAATGTTTTGAGACTGATGAGGACAATGAATGTACAAATGTGCTTTACACAACTGATGTATGTATGGATTGTGATAAGAGTTGTATGAGCCCCTAAAAAAAAAAAAAGAAAGACAAAAAGACATCCATTGCAACAGATTGTATTCAAACTTTCCAATACCAAGGACAAGAGAGTCCTGAGAGCAATCAGGGTCAAAAGAACAGTCCCCTACAAATGAAAACCAATAAGAATAAGATTTCTTAGCAGAAACCATGCAGGCAGGAAGACAATGGAGTGACATATGTAAAACCCTCAAGGAAATAAAAAGTACCAATCAAGAATCTTATATCCAGCAAAACTATCCTTCAAATATGAGGTTAGAAATAAGAGTATTTCCAGATGGGGAGAAATTAAAGGTGTTTAAAAACAAACAACAACAACAACCAAAAAAACAAAACAGAGGGAAGATGGCCACCAGATAACAAGCACAGGATGACTTCCCTGGCAACCACTGGAGAGGTCCCAGTAGGAGAGATATCCTGTGTTTTGTGGTAGCAAGAAATTCAACTTAACATCTTAGACTCAATTTTCTTAAAGCAGGAGAGCAACAGCACCTGTTGACAAACTCCCCTTTACCCCTGGCTGTTGGCTTCTGTGAATCTCCTCTGCCTCTGCAGTACAGCTGATGTTGTCCAGCCCTGGAGGCAGCCCAGCCATGCAAACCTCTTACCTTGTTGGTGGACAGCAGATCACATGTGCAGCACGGTGCAGACAAACTCACGACCCATGCTACACTTTTTGCCATTTTTTGCCTTCCTCCTTTTCTGTTTCTTCTCCATATCCTACCCACCACATGCCCCGCCTCTCCCACGCACCACACATGTATGACACCACTAAAGGAGCAGGATTCCCCACCCACAAGGCCGTTTTATTTTCTGTGAGTTTTGTGCTTTGGTTCTAGTATAATGCTTTTATTATTGTTTCTAAATCTCTTCCAGTTCCTCTTCTGGTGTCTTTTTCTACTTCCACCCCACCCTCTTGAGAATATGCATTTCCCCTAGGCAAAAACAATCAGGCCTGTAGAGTGCAGCACCCCCCCTCCCGCAAAGAAAAGGGCTCCCCCCCCACCCACTCCCTGCTCAGGGCACAGACATGCTCACATTCATGCTGCCATAGCAACAGAACTTCAGCACCCACACCTGAGTCTTTTGTCTCTTTTGTCCCTTTTAGTCCCTGCACATCTAGCTATTACTGCTTTCTGGTCACTCTCATTTATTTTGTGAAATATATTTTCATGAAACTTATTAACTCTGATGACCTCTCAACATACATTTTCCCATTACTATTACAAATCTGTTGGCCTAGCCAGACAGCTGCTTATTATTACTATCATTACTTTTATTCTACTCTCTCTCTTCTCCCCCTCCCATGTTCCCCTCCTACCCACCTCTCTCCCCTTCCCTCCATTTCACTGCCACGTGTTTTCCAGCTCCTGTTACCTCTCCCACAACACCCAACAGAGCCAACTACTTCTACTTGATCCAGCAGCTCACACACCACTAATAGCTGTGCCACCATGCCAAGGACACAACAGCCAACCTCAGTAAGACAAAGCAAAAATGGAAAATCAAGAAAAAAACACCCCAAAATCACACAACCCCAATAGAATCGTCTGAAAATGAGGCCTCAGTACTATCAGAAACAGAATTCAGAAGAGGGGTGTTGAGGCCCTTCTAAGTGACGTGGGATACACTTATGAGAACAATGGAAGAAATTGAAAAACCAAATCCTTAAACAAAAGGAATCCCAGCACATGAACAATGAAATAATAGAATTACACAAGATGGTGAAAGATCTGAGGAATAGAATGGAATAAAGGGAAACTTAAATCAGTGAGCTTAAAGACAATCACTCTGACTACAATCAATAGAGAAACAACAATAAAAGGGGAGGGATCTGAAGAAACCTGAGAATCATGTAGGACACAATCAAGAGAAACAACCTATAAGAAGAAAGTAATAAAATCCACAGAGAAAATAGTGTGAGAAATCATGGAAGAAATTTCCCCCGACATCACAAAGGAGGAGAAAATAACTATTTAAGAAGCCAAGAGTTCCCCCAAATAGAAAGGACACCAAAAGAAAAAACGTACAACATATCATAGCCAAATTCCAATTTCAAGGGAAAGTAGAGAATTCTGAGGATAGAGAAAAAAGAACAGTCACCTACAAAGGAAAACTGATAAGATAAACTTAGAATTCTCAGCAGAACTATGCAGGCAAGAAGACAATGGAATGACATATATAAAATTTTGAAAGAAAAACACTGCCAACCAAGAATCCTATATCCCGCAAAATTATCCCTCAAACAACAAGGGAGAAATAAAGGTTGTATGCCATAGACAACTGGAACTTTACCAGTGGTTCTCAACCTTCCTAATTCTGCAACCCTTTAATACAGTTCCTCATGTTGTGGTGACCCCCAACCACAAAATTATTTTCATTGCTACTTTGTAACTGTAATTTTGTTACTGTTATGAATCGGGCGACCCCTGTGAAAGGGTCATTCGACCCCCAAAGGGGTCACAACCCACAGTTTGAGAACCATTGCTTTAGACTGTCTCTTTGAGGCACACAACATCCTTCATAGGCCGTACCAGTAGGATTCTATGTGGACACCTCAACAAGCAAACTGGACTTTACCTAAAACCCACAGGTAGCAGATTTGGGGGAATGATATATGCCCTTGGACTTAAGGCTGAAATGTCCTAGTGTGAGAAGAAGTAGATGAATGCTATCCCAAGGTTATAGAATTGGCAACTGTTGAACTCTAATGAATCTTGTTCACTGGTACTCTGGAATGCTGCTACCTGTGCAAGACTTTTCTGTTCTAAGGATGTCTCATCACCTTCTGTTTTAGATGAAGTCAACAGAAGAAAAGGATGAGCCATTCGATGCAGAAGAGATGAGGCCAATAAAATGTCCCACTCGGGTAAGCAGGAACTGGGCAGGAAGGGCAATGGGGTGGGGGAAGGTGGGAAGAGATGGGGTTACCAAGTGGGACTTTGCTGTGAATTGAGGGGTCTTTCATGGCTGAGTCATTGAACCCATTATGTCTTAGGTCTGTTCTCCCATTCTGGCCATAGGTCTGCTCACTATGTTATACCTCTGAACCCTGAGAGCAGTTTTAGTAGAACCGAGGCCCCCTTCACCCCTGTGGGCAGTGCAGGAACAAAGCCACAGCTCACCAAGCCCCAAGGGCTGCGTCCTGCCACCTCCTCCTTTTCAAGACCTCTAACTCTGGAGTGGAGAAGAAGGCAGATATCAGCAAATCTAAGCAGTCTTGAAGATGGGCCATTATGCCAGGTTTTAAATGATTGCTTTTGTAGTAGGTACACAATTAATCTTTCTCAATAAATGGAAGAGAAATACCTGGACATAAATGAACACCACACCTTTAACCACTCAGTGCTAGTTGAAACCTTTGCTTTCTTGATGAATTGGTGAGTTTTTTTCCCTACAAGACAAGAACTATATGATTCATTCTGTTCCTTCTTTTTGCTTTGACTGCAAAGAAGCTTAAAATTAAGTGCTCTGTTCATTGAAATAGTGTATCTGTTTAGACAGGTTCATGGAACACGAGGGTAGAGAGCAAGAGATAATTAATACAAATGGGAAATTTTAGAGCATTTATGAGCTCCTCGAGGACTAACTGGGCAGCACAGAGAGGAGCTGGAGAATGGTTTGTTCATTGCTTTAAGGATAGTATTATTGTTCCAAATTGGCTAATGGCATTGCTGAACAGTAAAGGGATACCTTACCTTCTTCTGCAGAAGGAGCCCTATCTCTTCACCTACAGGAACAGCAACTACCTGCCCAGCCCACGGAAACGCCTTAAGACTCCTGAGGTATGGAAACACTTTCTATCATTGACAGAGAAGCAAGCAAATCATAGTCTGTAAAGCACAGTGATGCTGTGCACTGTTTCCATGCAGTTCCTTATGTCCTGGGTCCCCGCTGTCTCTGGCGGTGCTTTGGCTGCAGGGGTAATGGAGACTTTGACAAATACCTGAAATCCAGGCTGAGAAAGTGTGGAGGGTCTCGTGGGTGGCTGTTCCTTGCTATCTTGAAGCAGGTCTACCTTAAAGGTGTTTAGAACCACCTTATAACAGACTTCACAGGCATGTTGGGTCACTCAGATTGCCTGCTTCCCATCTGGTGTGATGTCAGACATCACTCCCTTCCCAAACCTTGGCAGAATGATTTCCGACTCATGGGAGACATTAATCTGAATAGAAAGTTCAGAAAGGAAGCAGAATGTGGTGAAAACTGAAACCAAATTCACTGGAGGACAAAAGGCTCTAGCAGTTGGTCCACACCTGTAGGAGCACCTCACACTTGCAGCTTGCTTGTTGCTTATCTCTTGAGCCTCTTGCTGATACTTCCTATGAATTAGATAGAGCACCTTGACTCCTCTGAGGAACCAAGGATGCTCAAAGGCACATGTCTTCATTCTCAGGGAACCGGAGACCCATGGGGGTCAAGAAAAATCCATTCCTAGTGACATCCTTGTCTCTGAATTGTGTAAAGCAGTGGTTCTCAACCTTCCTAATGCCATGACCCTTTAATACAGTTCTCATGTTGTGGAGACCCCCCAACCATACAATTATTTTTGTTGCTACTTCATAACTGTAATTTTTGCTACTGTTATGAATCAGGTGACCCCTGTGAAAGGGTCATTCAACCCCCAAAGGGGTCACGACCCACAGGTTGAGAACTCCACATGGTGGATGAAAAGGTGGCCTGAGCCTTCACCGTGAAGGCTGGTACAGAGTGAATGATTCTTGATTCATCAACTTGCCCCACACTTCTCAGATCATAGCAATGAAGATCCATCTGAGAAGCAGGATGGCACAGTAAGTTAAGCGAAGTGGCAAGACACTTAGCCCCTCTGTGCTTTATTTTTTTCTCTCTGGAAAATAGTAATAGTAACAGATCAACCTCACAGAGTTGTTATTAAATTGGAATAAGTTAATAATAAGTGTAAAGTACTGAGAATAGTACTTAGTATGTGGTTGTTACCAGATACTAGTCTCAGTACTTTATACTTATTAACTTATTCCAATTTAATAACAACTCTTTGAGATTGATCTATTATTATTTTTAATAATAAAAGCATCGATTGCTATTCCACCATTTGTCTGTCAATTATCATACTGGGGTGGCTTGTGCGTTGCTGTGATGCTGGAAGCTGTGTCACTGGTATTTCAAATGCCAGCAGGGCCACCCAACGTGATCAGGTTTCAGCAATCAAGATGCATTGACCACTGTTGGCGATTAAAATGCAAAAGTTGGAAACAGAAGGAAGGAACAGTAGTTGGAACATAGAGTCTTGGTGATATAAACAAAGCTGGAGATTGAATGATAGACTTTTGTAAGACCAATGACTGTTCATAGAAAGTACCATTTTTTAAAATAACATAAAAGGTGACTATACACATAGACTTCTCCAGATAGAATCCACAGAAATCAAATTGACTACATCTGATATGAATGGAATCAGGCCTGTGGGAGTGGATTCATTCGTTGATGGGGAATGACTCAAGGGAAGGAGGAAAAGCTGTAAAAATCTGCACATGATCAGAACTTAAAACACACAGTCACTGTGCCAAAAAGAACTAGTCACTGTTTCAGGAGGTAGCATATGAGCAAGCACCAATGGTGCTGAAGGAAGAAATCCAAGCTGCACTTAAGGCATTGATCGAGAACAAAGCTCCAGGAATTTACAGAATACCAACTGGAATATCTCAGCAATCTGAGGAAGCACTGGAAGGCACTCGCTTGTCTTTACCCAGAAATCTGGAAGATAGCTACTTGGCCAACTGATGGGAAGAGATCTATATCGGGCACATTCCAAAGAAAGGTGGCCCAACAGCATGCTCAAACTGTAGAACAATATCACTGATATCATACACCAGATCACCGAACAAAGGTTGTAGCAGTACATTGATTGGGAGCTGCCAGAGGTCCAGGTGGGATTCAGAAAAGGACATTGCTGATGTCAGATGGATCTTGGCTCAAGGCAGAGAATACCAGAAAGATGCTTATGTATACTTATTTTATTGACTATGCCAAGACATTCAGCTGTGTGGATCATAACAAACTATGGCTAACCTTGATAAGAATGGGAATTCCAGGACACTTCATTGTGCTCATTCGAAGTGTGCACATAGATTTAAAAGGCAGTTCTGTGAATACGGGGATGCTACATGGTTTAAAATCAGGAAAGGTGTATGGCAGGGTTGTCTCCTCTCACCATACTTATATAATCAGTGTGCTGAGAAAATAATCAGAGAAGCTGGATTATATGAAGAAGAATGTGGCATCAGGATTGGATAGCAACCTGCAATATGCAGATGACATAACCTTGCTTGCTGAAAGTGAGGAAGAATCGAAGCACTTGCTGATGAAGATCAAGGATGCAGCCTTCAGTATGGATTACAACTCAATGTAAAGAAGACCAAACTCCTCACAACTGGACCAGTAGGTAATAAGTGAAGGAAAGTTTGAAACGGTCAAGTATTTAATCTGACTTGAATCCACAACCAATGTTCGTGGAAGCAGCAGTCAAAAGATCAAAACAAGACCTCCTCAAGGTACTGCAAAGCAAGAGTGTTACTTTAAGGACTAAGGTCCACTTGACCCAAGCCATGGTACTTCCAATTGCCTTATATGTATATGAAAGTTAGGCATTGAATCAAGAAGACCGAAGAAGAATGGGTTTTGGTACTGGAGAAGAATATTGGAAGTACCATGAACTACTAAAAGGACAGGCCAATCTATCTTTGAAAGAATATGGCCAGAGTGCTCCTTAGAGGCAAGAATAGTGAGGCTTCATCTTACATACTTTGGACATGTTGTCAAGAGAGACCTGCCCCTGGAGACGGATATCGTGTCATTATGTTCTGTAGGGTAGAGGGGCTGCAAAGCAAACAAAGAGCCTCGAGGGGATGAATTGACAATGGGCTCAGGCGTAGGAACCCTTGTGAGGATGTTGCAGGACTGGGCATGGTTTCATGCTGTTGTGGATACGGTTGCTATGGGTTGGAGTTGGCAAGATGACATCTAACAACAGCATGTTTTTGTTATGTGCTCTCAAGCCACGTCTGACTCACAGAGACCCAATGAGTAACAGAAAGAACACTGTCCAGTCCGGCACCATCATCACAACGGCTGTTCTGCCTGACTCCAAGGTCACAGCTACTGTGTCAAGGCCTCTCACTGAGGGGCTTTCTCTTTAACCTTCTACTTTACCAAGCATGGTGTCCTTTCCCAAGGACAGGCCCCTCCCGATAGCACAGCCAAAGTACCGAAGACAGAGTCTCCCCAGCCTTACTTCTAGGGGCGTTCAGGCTACGCTTCTTCCCAGAAGTGCAGTCCTTTCAATAATCTTCACCCACTCCATAGTTCAAATGCATCCGTTCTCCTGTGGTCTTCCTTACTCGTTGACCTTGTCCTGCGTGCCAGGCACTGTTCTAGGCTCTGGGGATACAACAAACAAAACTCCCAGCTCTGTCTGTGAATGCAGACAGGGGAGAGACATAGTTGTATTTACGTTGGTAAAACACCAGGTGGGTGGATTCAGAGAGCCGGGGAGGAAGTACCCAGGAGTGGAGATGCAGGTCAGTGCTGCACTGTTCCTTCCAAGAAAGAACAAAGACTTAATGTTGAGGTCAAGGGACTGCAGGGAGGATGACTGGTTTGGGGAGCATTTAGAAAGAACGTTGTAGACAATTGGATGTGAGTATTGAAGAAGAAGGAACATTTGAAAAAGGTAATTGGGTTATGATCTTATCTTAGATGATATTTTCCAAAATATCTTAGATGATATTTTCCACTTCTCACCCAGTCATAGATTGAAAACTCCACTTCGTGGTGCCACCTGGAAATGCATGCGTATTTCTGTGTGTATCTCATTGCAGTTGAAAGAAGGAGCTGAAGTCAGATGCCTTAACAAGAGCCCCTCCGACTCAATTCCCACCTCAGGTACAAGCTCAAGTCACATGGTTTTTAAGCTCATTGGAGGTTTGAAATCATCAAAGTCAGAGCCATTTTCATATGACAAGGACTTCTCCCACAATCTGAAATACTACTGAGAGGCTTCCTAGGGGTACTTTGTGTGTATACTTGTTAGTTCTTGCCCGTGTTTGTGTTATTCTTTAAAACAGGTAAGGAATATTATTATCATAGCATTCACGGAGTGCTAACTACGTACCAGACCAAGTTCTACAAGGAACCCAATATTAGTTGTGTGAGTTGATGTCATTGTCCTTGCCTTTAATCCTTAGCAAGACTAATTTGTCCCACAATAAGTAAAAGTATCTTTAAACTGAAAGATCTGCCCCCCCCAAAAAAAAAATAAAAGAAAGAAAGAACCAATTCACCATACATCACCCCTGCCAGCATCATTTGCAGAGTGCACTCAAACACCACACCGACCAGGAAACCAGGCCCTATGGCAAACAGGCAGAGTCACAGCCTCTTAGGAGTTAACTTCTAAATTATCTACTCTGGACCGTGACAGGGAACTACAGTGGCCTGCAAGGTAATAACAGTGGCACGAGACTTTGCAAACTTGTGGGAAGACCACATGCGACCCGCATGACCCGAACACCAGTCCTGTAGCATTTTTCTGCAGGGCTGCTGCAGGTTCCCGTAGTTCATCCTGGAAGTTTGCTCGGTGGGTCATCTGTTGACCAGATAGTTGTTCAGTCCCTCCCGTGGGCTTTCCTGAAGCTTACCGTCTAGTAGATCTGCTGCGGCCCCAGGTCATGAAGTCTGGCGATGTCACACTGAGTTGAAGGAACCTTTCAGGGACGGGACCTTTGTGGTCGGGCTGTCTGAAGACCACATTTCCTTCTGTGTGGGCTGAAGATTAGGAGAGCAAACCAGTGTCCTGGCCTAGCCTTCCCATCTGGACTCAACATGAGCAAATTAAGTCAAGTGATGGGGAGGTAAATGTAAAATCTTTTCACCCAAACTTTGGTGCTTCACTCCCTCTGGTTCTGAGTTGCAGACTCGATGATACATACGTCTGTCTCTCTAGCTTATATTATTCACTAGCTGAATATGTGAGTTAGCTCTGGGCTGCTAACCAAAAAGTCAGTGATTGAACCTACTCGGTGTTCCGCAGGATTAAGCTGGGGCAATCTGCTTCCATAAAGATTTTCACTCTTGGAAACTCTACGGGGTAGTTCTCCTCTGTTCTAAAGGGTCACTACGAGTTCAAGTTGACTTAGTGGGTTTGGTTTAATATGAACACTTAAAAATCCTCACTGCCATTGAGTCAATGCCGACTCACAGTGACCCTATAGGACAGGGGAGAACTACTCCTGTGGGTTTCTGAGACTGTAAGTCTTTACAGGTAGAAAGTCTTCGCTTTCTCCCAACAAAGCATCTGTTGGTTTCAAACTGCAGACCTTGCAGATCACAGCCCAATGTATAACCACTGTGCTACTCGGGCCACTAGACTATGCAACCAGGGCCCTTATATGTATATTGTACACTTATATATATATATAAGATACACATGTATGTTCTCTATATTCTCTCTATGTACTATATCGTTATCTACAAGGGGCTGCAAAAAGTCTATAGAAAATTCCATTATCTTTTCATTCCACTTGTCCACAAACTTCTAAAACTTCCTCATATCAACATTAATATGTTCTTTTCATTCTCATTGTCAACTCATTCTGTTGGTTTGCTTGCTGGCAGGACTTTAGCAGCAGCAGTAGATTATCAGCTTCACATCTCAGTCATCCTGTGCCACTGAACGTTATAGCAAACGTATCTGAGTATGTGTTAAGAGCCGTACTCTCTGCAATAAAAGGACATCTGTTCACTTCTTCATCTTATAGGATGACCTGGAAAGCATTTTGCCATTCTTGTTGGCAGTGATAACCAGTCCATTACAGCGTATCTCAACATCTTAAAAGCCAGATAAAATGAGAAATTCTTTTTTATTGCCCGGCCTGGAGATTGTCTGTTTATCGGCACTTCAAAATATAACAGCACAAAACCTCAAGACACGGAGATCTGAGATGCTCTGGTGATGTGAGCTGTTTGTAGGCCCTTCTGATCTAATCAAGTGGGCCCAGACCAGGACATTGGCTCTCACCATGGCAGTGGGGGTGAGGTGGGGTTGGAGAGGAGGCCCTCCCCGGAGAGGAGGCCCTCCCCAGAGAGGACTAATTGGCCTGCACTTCTGAGTCCTACCTCCTCTGAAAAGTCACTTTTAGGAAAATGACCACAATCCACTGGACAGTAATAAAGAGTCATTTTCAACAATGTTTAAGTCCCTCTGTCTAGTGCTGCTTTCAATTGTATCCACCGAGCTAACCAAAGGGGGTGGTTCATGATAAAATATCACCTGCAGGTACCCGGCCTCAGTCCCTCCCCTGGAGCTCCCTCCAGCCCCTGGCCGACACGGCTCATCACGCATCAGTGGGGTCTCTGGGATGAGCTGCACAAGGCTATGCAGATGGGAGCAACGTGTTTGACCAGTTGGCATTTGATAACCAAACAAAGAAGAAAGGCCTCTATGTTCTTCCTCCCAGGGAAGGCATGTGTGTATTACACACACACACACACACACACACACACACACACACACACACACACGTCTGTGGCTGTACCAGCCTGTGCCTGCTCGCCGGATCCTGACTGAATGTGTGATTGATTACACGCTGCTGATATGATGTGCTTTTTAACCTCATAAATACTGTTCTGATTTTATCACACTAGACCAATGATTCTTAACCTTCCTCATGCCACAACCCTTTAAACAGTTTCTCATGTTGTGGTGACCCCCCAACCATAAAATTATGGTCGTTGCTACTTCATCACTGTAGTTTTGCTGCTGTTATGAATCGGGTGACTCCTGTGAAAGGGTCGTTGGATGCCCAAAGGGGTCGCAACCCACAGGTTGAGAACCACTGCTCTAGATGGTCCTTTCCTTAACGCGAGTGGGACAATGAGGAAAAAGATATTGGAGCAGGGAACTGACGTCAGGCCTTGGCGTGAGACAAGGGGCAGCTTTTGTACTTGAAGAGGAGCCCTGGTGGCAGAGTGAGGTACACATTGGGTTGCTAACCACAAGGTCAGCAGTTCGAAACCATCAGTTGCTCCAAGGAGGGTGCTTTCTACTCCCGTTAAGAGTTACAGTCACGGCAACTCACAGGGGCAGTTCTACTCTGTCCTGTAGGGTCACTATGAGTTGGAATCAACTCAATGACAGTGAGCTTTCTGGAGATTTTTGTGCTTGAAGGACTGACAGTATGGAGCCCAAGAGGCTGTGGCTCACTGGTTCTGCACCCCTTCTGAAGCCAACCCTTCCATTTCATGCCAACGACAAGATGCGTAGCCTTGGAAAACATGGAGAGGGATGATATCATCAGAAGTCATACAAACCACAATGGGGCCTTCCTTGATTGCAAGCCATTGACGCATTCTGATGTCTTCTCTTTGGCCCATTTGTCCAGAATGAGGTGTTCAAGCACTGATGAGAGAAATGTGTAAGTTACGGCCCCAGCTGATGCCCCTGCATTGGAGGTTTGATGTAACTTCCAGCTCGGGGCCGGGGCTGTTTCTGTGGCCATTGGTTGTTTGAGGTCTGTGACTTGGCCTAAGCAGTGATCAGGACGGAACGATGCCCCACAAGGAATAGCAACCTGCTGGGCTCTAGGAGCCACCAGCTTACTGAGAAGTTGACACTCGCCCTCAAGACAAGTGGGCGAGCCGGTGTTTCCCTGTCCTGAGGGCACCATCCTTGAAAGCCGGGATAGTGGTACAATTCCTGTCACGGAGCCACCGATTTCACTTTCAAATCAATTTAACTTATCGACTCTTTCTTTATATGAATTCATAGCAAAGCATTCCAAGGGCAGAAACAAGGTTTCAACCTGTGCTAGTCATCCTCTGTGATTGTGGAAGTCTTTACAGGAATCCCTCACATCAGAGGACACGTGGGCTGGCTTTTTCAGGGACAGCCCCAGGTGGTTACGTTGCTGGGGGACACAAAGCAGCAGCTAAGCCTTCCTCCCAGTGGCCTGTCCACAAAACAGGCCCTTCCCCCGACACCCCAATGCGGGCTTCCTTGCTATTCTTGACCTCTGCACAGTCAGGATGACCTTCTGATCAGAGAGCCTCTCCTCAGAAATCTTGATGAGCCAGGGCATGCTGTGTTTATCAGTCTTCTTTCTCAGGGAGGGAC